GAGTTTTGGCCAGGTTAAATCCTGCCTCATCTACATAAATAAATTCATGTGGTGTCTGATTAGCCTCCAACTCCATAACTCTCTGAAAGAAATACGTAAAACACAAGTTAGAGTAAAAAGCTTTTCACTATGTGGGTATGGATGAGTCACTTAGATTTGATATAGTAGGTACCTGGACATACTGCTGTCGGAGTTCCATGACCTGCTCGCTGTTTCTTTCAAAGGGAACTGTGTACAGCTGTTTCATTACAATTCTGTGTTTCTTCAAAGTTCGAGCAATGGTAGTCAGGCTGATGCTGTCCACATTCTGGAATACCAGGTTGTCCTGTACAATTCTGTCCTGAATTTCTCTGAGTTTTATAGCATTGTCAGCAATTACCCATCTTACAATGGCATGCTCTTGGTTTTCATTTAGCAGCTTTCTTCTTCCCCCAGAGTAATGATGTTGCTGTGTCCTTTACATACGTAAATGAACAAATGTGTTACATATTTGTATTTGTAGATGTTGGTAGTCAGCAGTTACTGTGGTACATTACAAATGCAAGTATGGCGCTCATGAAATGAATTACTAACCTGTTGGTTTGTTGAAAAATTCAGATAATGGAAGCCACAGTTGATCGTCTGAGATTAGGCTGGACTCTTTCACCGGCCTCTCTCAGTGACAGACCATGGTTTATTACATGGTCTATGATGGTGGCTCTTATTTCATTAGTGACAACAGCTCTTACTCTCCTTTGACCTCCTCCACGCATTCTTACTCCTCTCCCCCATCTCTCCTTCTCCCTTGTCCTGCTACAACTATTCCTCTCCTTAGATCACCTTGTCCTCTCCCTCGTCCAACTATTCCTCCTCGTCTAATTCCTCTCCCTTGTCCAGACATTTTCTGCCCGGTCTAGAGAGTGCATGCTTTTTTTTATTGTGCTTGGACATGCATGGAAAGATGTGGGATTAATCAGTGTCAAATTGGAACCAGAAACATGTGCATTGACTAAATTTTGTGTGAAAACGACATTAATTGCATTAATGGTATGGTCACAACAGACAGATGTCGTGATAATTGTGTTTAGAGTTTTGAAAATGTGAATACAGAATGGACAAATGGATGTTAGCAACTGCAAAAAACTGTAAGACAGATAAATCCCAGTGGTACAATCCACTCTGAAGTATGGTTAGTATACATTCCAGCTTGGTCAATGTGCTCTAGAAATTCATGTTATTATAGGCTGCTATAAGTTGAATGCACCCCCTGGAAATAACAGCAGCTTAACAAGCATTAGTGACTATGAAATGGCTGGAACTTAATACTTTTCACAACTGGATGAGGATAAATCCTGCATGCTAAGCAAGTGTCAACTGGTTTTACCACCTTTGTGATCCATGGGGCAAGTTGTAACTTTTCAGAGCCATCCATCAGCCTTTTTTACACCGCAGGAGTTTAGTGAAACAAAATATGTACCTATTGTCAGGTATGTTCAAGGGTAGCCGGCACTGATTTTGGTCATGACTGGTCTATGGAAAATGAACATATCAAAATCCATATTACAGTTCAATCATGTGAAATCACATCAGTACAAGGAAAATCACAACAAAAGTGGACAAACCAACACATTTAGCCTTGTTAGTATTTGTGGAGAGGAAGAAGTTGAGAGGGAATTTGAGTCAAGAAACTGAAACAAAATGATTTCTTGATGAAAAAAGATCATTGATAAAATGCACACAGGAGAGCAAAGTTATTAGTTTGACAAATTTTGCGTTGCTGTAGGCAATTGACTGATAATGCACTGCAGCATAAACGTAAAACAATTCACTTAGATCAACACCACTTCTTCCACAGCTGGCTGTCCCATAAGAGAATCCTATACCTGTTCTGGTTGATCTGATTAATATATAACCTCTTTCCAAACCTTTGTATATAAATAACACAATGATGAGTCCTTGGGAAAGAGGGAAAATGGCCTGTAAGTGAGCTTGCTGAGGCATATTTAATGTGTTTATTCTCTGGGGAAGTACTTGCTCTTAGTGTCCTCTATTGTTTTGTTTACTTCCTGTTAGGGCAAGGATGGTCTGGGAGGAGCAAGGCCACAAAAACAAAACTAACAGAACTTGGTCATTATGAACTTAAAGCCAAGTCAAGAAACAGACAAGACAGACAGTTTGTCTCGAGTCTTGAGGCTTGAGTCCAGCTCTGCTTCAGGGCCCTGGCTGGATGTTTTAATTGAAGCACTTTTAGATAAAAACGTAAGTATGAATATTTATGTGTCTGCACCATTTTTATATCAGGTTCCTTTCCAGACAGTCACAGAACAATTCCAATGACCCCTGAACTACCCAGATAAGATTTGGACTCGGTTCTGGTCTGTACCTCACATCTCTCAGCTTC